TTGAGATAATATGTTTAAAGTGTTTTGTTAGTGTTATTGGCCAATTCTACACTCAATTTGCCACTCAATACTGATTGATGAACTAACATGACATGATCAGTATTAACTTGATGGGTGCTGTTTGCTTTGATAATAGATGAAAGGAGAAGCAGAAGCCTTTGCTATTGAAGCCAAGGCTAAAGCTGAAGCTGAACAAATGGCTAAGAAAGCTGATGCATGGAAAGATTATCAAGATGCTGCCATGATTGATATGGTCTTGGAAACAATGCCAAAGGTAAGTCTACCAACTATGTACTGCACACTACTGAAGCCAGGCTACGGCCAAAACCAGCCACTTGGGAACAAAAGTTCTTGATATTGACACAAGCCAAGGACAATAAATGTTTCATTATCCTGGAAGGGAAAAACAATTCAGTATTTAAGGTAAAACTGTGAGCCCAAATCAAAAGTTAAAGTCTCACCCATTCTTTTATTGTCTGCAACAATTTAAATGTCCTGGATGTTGTGACATCAGAGACAAGAAACATACATAATGTTGTCAAAGGAGGGAAATATCAATATTCATCAAATAATCATGTGACTGCTTTTGACTGTCTCATACATGAATGGTAATAATACATGTAGGTATAGCAAGAGGTTGATTTGATGTTCTAGACGCATGGTAGAAATAATAATGCTCTGTTCTATGTAATTTTAACCTTGATAAAATCATAGACCTGGATCATACTGTTCGAGTTGCATCGAAGTGCTCTACGGTATGAATGTACAGCTCTTCTAAAAGCACTGGGGCGAGTTATAGGAGTGATTACAAATTGCTCGCCTAAAAGCAGTGAGGCGAGTGATTTTAGAAAATTATATGATTTGCAATAAGGGTGGACCCAGGGTGTTAGTTTTTTTTTATATTTAAGATATTTTTTTTTATTGAGTCATTCAAGTCTCTTAAAAATACATTTCAGTTTCACATAATCTCATATGAAATACCTTTACATAGTCAATACAGTCAGAAATTTACCCAATTTCTTAATATGTGCATTTAATTTCCCTTTTTTGTTGTTGTTCTGAATATTTTGAACAAATAGTTTAAGATGTTTGAAATGTGGAATCTTTCCTTTACATTTGCAGATATAAATAAAACGCTTAGTTACCAATAACAACAAATTAAGCAACAATGACTCATGTGGGTCTCCCAGCAGAATTGTTTCATCAGATAAAGTATTTCTTAACCCAATATGTTTTCCCCATCGCTCAGAAAATGCCTTCCAAAACAACTGAACAAGAGGACACCTTATCATAAGGTGCATAATTGTTTCCACTTCCCCTTTACAAAATGTACACATTTTAGATTGGCAAATCTGGGGCAAAATTTTATTTAGTTTTACATTTGTCATTATTAAGTTGTGGTTCATTTTCCATTCAAATTCCCTCAATTTAGTATCTATTGTTATTTTGAATGGTAATTTGTAGATAGTTTCCCAGCCATGTATTCTCTCTCCCAGCAATTCCGAAATGACCTTCTCTGAGCGTGGGGGAATAAAACTTTGTGAAACAATACCCTTAACAACTTGCTTTGCTGTACATTAATTTAAGTGAATATGCAAATCAACAAACTTCACCCCAATCATCTGTTCCTTTCCCACAATATCAAAATATTTCATTTCCACACCTCTTTTTAACCCTGAAGGTATTGATGATATAATACCGTACCATTTCAAAAACATGTGCTTTGGGACACTATTGTTCATCATTTCTTTCCAATCCAATATAAAACCCCTGTTACTAAAAAGTTGCCCCACATAGTGA